GGCAGCAGTGCTGTAGCAGACATCAACTACTTACAAGTACAACACTTGATCGCCTTGTAATGCAGAAGTTGCACTAGGCGATAGTGAAACTAAATCAATCTTCATTACTAATGAAGATTAATTTACTAACTTAGACAATACATTAGGAAACTAATTTAGCTTCCTAATGTATTTGCCTAGGTGAAAACTAGGTGGATAGAGTAGGAATAGCTACTGCACCTTCCGCTTGCACTACGTACAGGAGAAGCCTGCTGCCGTTGTATCCACCTCGACGCCTACTTCTACAACTAGAACGTAATAAATTTAAATATCTAAAAACTTTCCAATGAATTTTAATATCTAAAAAGTTCCACCAAACACATTCCAATAAATCTTAGGCCAAATGGCCAGCGCAGCACCAGCTGAAGGGGACAGACACATCAACCTTCTGCTGTTCATCGAATCATATAATCGGTATTACTGAAGGTTAGTTTATGTTATTACTGAGCAATACTATTATCTGTCCATGTTAGTATGTGATTGAAGAGCTTCTAGATCCACAACTAGGAGGGTGACCTTAGTGCGAGAAGGGGACGTATGAAAAAATCATATTCCTTTCGTTTTTTGTTTGGTGACAACCTTCTGCAGCTTTTTATTCTCTTCATTGAATTTCTAATGAGCCGTAATTTGTGTTGAATTTTTCGTTTGCAAGCTCAGTGAACTTCTGCGACCGTCTAGCATCTTCTCCGGCTCGGCTTTCTGCCGAGAGCAGGAGCTCCGTTGATACAGGGAACTCGTTTCGCGCATATAAATGTCTGAAATACGAATCCAAAGGAATCTTAGAAGAATATATTATATAATGGCGCTAAGTCAACTAAGAACTGCACAAAAACGGTCTTTATTGCCGCCTCCTCGTCCTGGAAGTGCTCCGCTTAGCGGCTGTTGCCACTTGCTTCCTCTTGGTTTTTCTGTCTTTTGGTTTCGTTTCATGTGATTCCCCGCGCCCCTCCAGAGTCCACCGCACCAGCCTGCAAATGTGAGCTGGGGGATTCTGGAGGGGCGCGGGGATTTGGAGGGTGCCCGAAGTTCTTGGCTCGCAACTGGGTGAGGGTTTTCCAGAAGAGAACGCAGTAGGCGGCGAGTATTCTGCGGATTCGCGTCATGCCCGGAAAGATTGAATTTTGTCCGGATTTTTGCAGTCCTTAGTTGAATTTTCTCCAATATAAATATATAAGTGTAGTTTCAGTTTAACAAGTTAAGTGTTTGGAAGAGTGTTGTACTATGTGAAGCTGATAAAGGTGCAAACGTCGAGCGCAAGTGAACGCCTTTAACTCATGTTTTAAGAGGAGCGACAAGCTCAAAAAAGTTTGAGTGTAGCAAGTCGTCCCGAGCGTAGGGGCAGTTGCTCAGGTAGAAAAAGAGCATCGAATGAAAAGAGCTGCACAGTAGATTCGTAATCATATTTGGAGAATGACATGACGGATGCGCCCTACCTTGTCACTACACTGAGATGTACTAGAAGGCTTTGGTTTATACATGATGTCGAGCAGTCCTCCATACCGTAGTGGTACAAACATCAAGGACAAAAAGAATCATGAAAGTGTAACATATTTATCTGATTATAATATCATTGTGAATAATACCAGTATAACTTATATTTATCAAAATATCTGATAATATCATTGTATCATGTTACAGTAGCTACTGCATCGTGTTAATGTGCTGCATCAAAGGCCCCCCTCTGGTGCAGCACTTGAAAACAAGTTGTTGGTCCCAACACATCAAAGCCGCCAACTCTTGAAATATCGAACAAAAAAACGCTATCATTATCAGACGAGGTATAAAAAGGCTTTTATGTGTGACATGAAACAAGTTGGTCCCAAGCCCAACACATCAAAGCCGTGAGCTCTCGAAAACTAGTTCTTGTTGGTCCCCACATCTACTACTAACACTCCTTCTTCGTAAGATTCGACTGTGTTTGCGTAGGTAGTTCCTCGGTTGGAATAGGCTCGTACACGGGTGCTATTCGCTCTGTCTTTGTCTGCGTGCCAGACAAGGCAATACTTGCGTCCGTTGTCTTGGGCGGTGGGTCAATTCCGACATTGCCTTAGAAAAAAAAAGGGCAGTGACCCTGTCAGAGACATATTAGATTTAGGTCGTCGAGATAACTAGATAGCTAATTCGTTACTCTTGTGTCGTCTAGACGACATTTTCGTTACTGTTGTGTCATTGATTGATTGATGTGCCTGACAAGAGGTAGGCTTTGGAGAGTCATCTAGATGACACTTTCGGTAGTGTTGTTTCCAAACATATTTGGAATTCAGTGGTTTTTCTAGATATTTTCGGTCTGCTTGTTGTGCCTTTATAACTACCGCTATTTTTTGCTTATGGTGTCTACCGACACTACCACGACTAACTCATATCTTTACGCTTTGACAAGAATCCATGAAGAGCAATTTACTAGCACGAAGACGCTTCGAGAGTACTAGCAAGATGAAGTTACGATGGCGAAGCTCTTGCGCTTGGGGTGGTTAGGTGTCTAGATAAGTAGAAGGTTTAATAAATTGTGCTTATACTTTTACTTATCATGCCAATATAGCTCCTTTTACAAGCATGAGCTAGTAAGATGTTCCTGTCGATCTTCAATCATTATTGGTGTGTAGTCTCTGATTAATGTCACTCATAGTCTATGAGCCATGGAGTGAGTGTTCAAAAACTTTGCTTCTATTATAAATAGTAGAGGCTCGCGGTCCGTAATATAGAAGCTCAGCGTGCTGCGCCCATTGCAAACTTCTGATACCACCAAGGCAATACGGGATGCCCTAAGTTAGAACATTAAAAACAAGATTTTCACTCCTAAAACTCAGGATAGGTATAGGATAGCATTTAGAATAGGATAGGACGGGATCATACGAGTCGACTCACCTATTGAAAAAGCACCACTTCAAGAGTTCCTACTTTCCTAGAAAGCAAATTCGATCGATATCAGAGAGAGAACCGCTCAAGAAGATTCATCAAGATATATAATTAGTCAATATATCTATATGCACCAAGGAGGGAGCCCCCCCTGTGGATGGATCTGTGGTGGACCACGCCAAAGGGGGCCCAGCCTTGCAACCTTTGCCAGGTCTGTAGGGTTGGGAACATGCAACACGCCAGAGGGGTCCAGCCTTGCCACCTTTGCCAGGTCTGTAGGGTACAAGCAACACGCCAGGGGGGTCCAACCTTGCCACCTTTGCCAGGTCTGTCGGGTACATGCAGCACGCCAAGGTGGTGGGCCCCGCCCTGCCTCCTCTGCCAGCTCTGTCGGGTACCTGTAACACGACAAGAGGGCCCAGCCTTTGCCACCTTTGCCAGGTCTGTAAGGTACAGGCAACGCGCCACATGGGCCCAGCTTTGCCACCTTTGCCAGGTCTGTCGGGCACATGCAGCACGCCAAGGGGGTGGGCCCCGCCTCGCCTCCTCTGCCAGCTCTGTCGGGTACTTGCAACACGACAAGACAGCCCAACCTTTGCCACCTTTGCCAGGTCTGTAGGGTACACGCAACAAGCCAGCGGGGCCCTGCCTTGCCTCCTTTGCCAGCTTCAACGTCCTCCGCCCAAGGTCCCCACTTTGCGCGAATTTTGTTAGTTTGTAGGCGTGCTGCTGCCGCGGTCCACACAGTCAAAAGACAGACGACGCAAGCGCCGGGCTCGGGGTTCTTTTTGGATTATGCAAGGAGAAGAATCCAAAGCGAGCGCGCCAAAGCTACGGCCTGGCGCCTCCCTCTTGTGCCGCATTCGGACTACAGCCCGAAGGGAGGCCGCGCTCAGTTTCTTTGTGTGGGTTTTGTTTTGATCTGTAACCCCAACAGAGCCGGCCTGGACTGCGAGGCAACACATGCCCGCTCACCCTTTGTGTTTCGAGCTTTCGCCAGACAAGTTCTTGAGCTTGCTGGCAGCTCTTATCTTTTTCAGTGTAAGGAAGCGATGGCATGGCGCTCGCTTTGGTAATCTTCTACATTATAGTCGCGAGCAACGCTCCCAGCATGCACCGCACTAGTATCTATTAATAGCAGCGCTTGCCTTACCGTTGTAACACCCTTGCCCCCTTTTGAACCGTTACGCAGACCCTTATGACCCTTACGCCCCCCCCCCCAGTACCCTTTGAGACCCTTGCGACACCCCTACAGCCCTCCCCGAGGGAGCTCGCGGCCCCTTCTGATTTGTTGACCCCTTTGCGATCAAGGGCCGCGCCAAATAGTCCAGCCCCAGCTCGCTCAGGCCTGGGCATGGCTTGGGGCTCAGAGTCCCCACTTTGCGCGGAAGGATTTCGTTTCTGGGCGTGCTGCTGCAAAGCCAGACGATGCACGCGCCGCGTTTTGGGTTCTTTTTGGCCTATGCAAGGAGAGGAATCCAAAGCACGCCCAGGCTACGGCTTGGCGCCCTCTTTACTTTTTGCGCCGCATTCGAACGACGGCCCAAAGGAAGGCCGTGCCTACTTTCTTCGTGTGGCTTTTGATCCGTAGCCCAAACAGAGGCGGCCCGGACTACGAAGCAACACACGCCCACCCGCCCGCCCTTTGCGTTTCCAGCTTTCGCCGGAAATATTCTCGAGCCTGCTGCCGCCCAGTCTCATGCGGTGGAGCAGTCTCGCCGTGCTAGACCCGCCTGGCGGATCTTATCTTTTTCAGTGTGGGCGATGGCATGGCGCTCGCTATGGTAATCTTCTACATTATAATCGCGACGCCCCCAGCATGCACCGCACTAGTTACTAGTACCACAGGACTACTTCTATTACCACTACACAAATGGAGCTCTTAGAACTAGAGAAAAGGACTAAGTACTTCTCCTAGTGCTTCTTCTCCTAATAAATGATCCTTAAATACTACTCCACCTGGTATAGAAGTATTAAAATGTTTTGGTCATAACAACAGCTCCATGAAGAAAGGGACTTCTAGCGAGTTCCCTTTAGACGAGGGCCGTTTTAACTGTGCCACGCCTCGCCAGGAAAGCGGGCAGCGGTACAGGACTGGACTGTAGGTCAGAATTGCGAAAGATTAGACGAGCAGCGTAAAACTAATGTAAAGAGACTGCAAGTGAAGAGAATTGCACCATTTCATTCATTTGTCTACTCATTTCCCAATGGAGGCTATGCATATGGATATTCAATTCGATTGAATGATTCTATGTATCATCTTAAGCCTCATTTGTGAGAATGGTATAGTACATTAATATCTATGAATGATCCAGTAAAACCGCCGTAAGAAGATACCATGGCAGTTTTGTACGTGGTAGTAGCAGTGGGAGTAGTTTGTTCGCCTTGTGGTTTCAAAAAGGAACTGGCTGCAGCAGTCGACTGCTCCGGCTTCTCCACTTTAGACTCGGCTCCCTTCCATCTTGGTCCCCTCATCTCGACCCTCCCCTTGTATTTCATGAGCAGAATACAAGGCAAAAGGTGACCAAGATGCCGAAAAAGATGGATATAAAAGCTACCCATAAGCGAAACCGATGCTCTTCTTGCGTTCTCCTCATACTCATTTTCCTTCTTAATAGCATTGTCAACCTTTCTGTCAATCTCCTTCTTCAGTTCCAGTGCTTTGTTATTGTCACAGAAAAATTGGAGATGCAACGCGTCGCTGCTTCCGCGTCTTAGAGTTTTTGACGTAATATCAATATCTCTACTGTTTAGTCCGTCCTATGAAATTGATATCTCGACTGTTTAGTCCGTCCTATCAAAACATTGATATCTCTGTTTAGTCCGTCCTATGGTGAATTTCAATTTGACAAATCTCTGAGGTTTAGTCCGTCCTATGATATTGATATCTCTGATGTCTAGTTCGTGGTCCTATCTACCCGCATTGATCTAATATCAGCTGAGATTGAGATTAAGGTTCAGAGTCCACGGAATCGTGGCATCGTGTTGATGGTGTACTTCCAGCTTACATGATTCGCTGACTATTCATTGCGAGGTATGTGTTATACGAGCTTCTAAAGACCCACACATAACCTGATCTTAGTGATCATGTATTCATTGAAGTAAAAACCTGCCTTAAATCTTTCTCCTTGACGTCTGCTCTTTTCTCTTTTGAGTCTGTCGCCTCGTCGCCTGCCGTCGAAGCGGTTTGCTCCTCAGATACTGCAAGGGCGTCCGCCTTCAGGTAAATGATATTCGCTAAACTTAGAGGATGGGCCTTGATTGCAGTGATCTCAAACGGGCAGTGGTCCTCGATCGGTAAAAAATAAGTGGATGGATGGATAGACATGAAAACTCAGATTGATAAATAGTAATAGACTGACACTCCAAAATGACACTCACTCGAGACATTTCAATCTTATGCGGGACCGGTATGAATCAATCGTCCAGCAAGGTAACATCGGAGAAGAGCAATCGTCTACTCTCATTTTTCCTATACCAAAATAATAGGAAAAATCTACTTAAAGAGATTCTCTACTAACAAATACTACTAGGAACAAAGACTCTCTACTAACAAATAGATACTACTAGGAAAAATAGACTCTCTACTAGCCAATACTAGGGCAAGGCATAAAGATGATACAATGAACACCAGGGGTGAGAGAGGTGAACTCGTCCCACTGGGTCTCAAACTCCCAGTGGGTCTCCACGTACAAGTAACGAACCACGTACAACTAGCAGCTACAAGTAAGAACTGCCTGGTTATCATTATACACCCTCTCTCCATATCCCACCCTCCATATGAATTCTACTTAAGAAACAGTTTTATAGGATTAGGATTAGGATGGGATCTGCTGTCCACAGTTTTATACGGCAGATTCAGATTGGTCCCTTAAGATATTTCGAAGGTAGCCCAGGGCGACGGGGCGAGACGTCTCTTGCACAGAGGTCAGCGACTTAGTCAAGTCTTCAATTTGCTGGGCCATTGATATTTTTTGACCTGAGATGAAGTTAGTTCGCTTGAAGGAAAATTCTTCGAGGAAAAAAGTAACTGAGTACTTTTTTGAGTGCGAGTTCAAGTTCACTTTTTCCTTTCATAATGATCTCGACCTTTGTTATTTTACTTAACAAATATGTAAGTACCATCTTGGTCGGAGACCGCAACGGCCTGACTTCCATGATTGGAGACACCTTGTGCGGAGGCCGTCACATGTGTCTTTTTGTCTGGCCGCGAAACCACCTGGCCTCTCAGTTCCTTTCTTTATTAGATGTGAACGAAGAATAGGATATGAAAACCACCTGAACCAGTTTAAGATGTACTCGCGTAGTAGTACTCTGGTTGTATATGGAGCGAGTCCTCGTGTGCTGGAGTTGTTTACACGCTTACTAGAGTGGTATATGAAGTCGTGTTGAGTTGTTTATTCCCTTACGAGACTTCACGGCTACATGCGAATGCACCATCGAAAGAGCTACGTAAGTACAAGTACTACTGTCAGTGTCAAAACTAGAAGATGATAAAAAAAAGGCAACAACATTATGTCATCGTTTCGTTAAACAAATTATGATACATTTGTAAAAAGCTGTAACCACGACCTGCTTATTGAGTCTGAAGATGGAGTACCTGTTTTGTAAATCAAAACAACCCTCATCTGGAGTGCTTCTAGAGAACAGCTGCTGTACTAGAGAACTACAGTAAATCAACACTACAAGAAATAGAGAACAAGATGGTAGCCTGGAGTAGGTACTTGTTTTGTAAAAAACAATAACACTCTGGAGTACTAGAGAACTACCTTATATCAACACTAGTAGAGAACAACATGGTAGTCTCGATGAACTAGTAGAACAGTCTGGATTATTTCTAGTAGAGAACAATATAAGTAGTACATCAACTAGAAAAAACATACATCTTCAAGATGAACAGTACACCTAGTAGAATTTCTCTAGACTTGTTAGTTCTTTTCCTACTTTCTTCCCTCAAAATCTACCAGTAGAGCACATGAGCAACTACATCGTACTAGTAATAGTGGAACCTCTCCTAATTCACGAAGTCCAGCACTTCCGCTGGAAAGTTGCGCTTCTCTGGCACACCCTTTGCTTCTCTGGGCTCCTTCGGCACACCCTTTCGCAACCAATCGAGAAACGAAGAATTAGATACGACACCAGTAATATTATGGCATCAGCATCAGTGCTGGCATAAATCTCAGTGTGTCAGGGGCTAGATCATAAATCTTAGGATGCATGCCAGTGGCACACGTCTCAGGATGCATGACAGTGGCACATCAAGTTTCATGAAGTAGTCATGCATCTAAGCGGGTACTTCATACATCAAGTCTTCATACTTCATACATGATCTCAAGTAGCTAGTAGAACTCTGGAGATGTTATGTCGATATGGAACCTCTACAACATGATGGGTAAACTCGCTTAAAACATAATAATGTCTGGTGCTCTTCAATCATACGTCATAAAAATATTCATTATAAGTACATGCTGTTGTGTCTTCGCACATCGAGAGGTCATGACCCTGACGACACTGTGGACATGGCGAGACTATCGCCATGCTTAATATCAAAATGTCATCTCTACTGTGGAGCTGCCCTCATGAGAGGGATCTCTATCACGTAGCAATTCTAATAATTTAAGAAAGAGGCCTTTATTTAGGGGAGACTAGTTATAAACGATCAAATCATAGCATACAATCAAGTAGTACTTCTGTCCTGTAGAGACGAAACTCGATGGAAAAATAGCAGGACAGTATACAACGAGACAAGGTAAAAGCGCAAAAATAGAGTCAGAAAGAATGGTACGCTAAGACCTGATAGGAAAGATCAAAAGTCAACTAGTTGCTCGAGTACTAGCTTATATTGAGTAGCTGCATCAAATGCGATCGATAGAAGCCCTATTTGGCTTGTTTTAAATGACACCGACATATTCTTAACTTTTACGGCTGTCGTTAACGTTCTTAACTTTGAGTTAACATTTCACAATCTTTCAACATTCCAACAGCGCTTCTGTTCTACCAGATTAACAATAAAACAGCCTTTGAGTCCCTGGAGACGTTCTTTGAGTCCCGGAACGGCATTATATATTTATAATAGTGTGTGTGAGCAGTCCCATGCCTAATTTCCCCTGCTGTTGTTTTAGCGCCTGGCACTTCGGCAACTGTACCGGATGCAGCTTCGGGTGCAGGAGCAAGCGACTTGAGCGCCTTGAATTAGCGGTAGGCTTTTGCTGTCTCTGTTTGAAACAATTGTCTTGCCTTTGTTTTCCATAATCGAGTAATGTAGTAAATAAGGCAACTCCTTGAGCCTTAACTGAAAAAGCCTTCCTGAAACGCTCCCGGGAAGGTCTGAAGGTTCACACGCAATATTGCTGCTTTAATCTGAGGCGTAGTCCTCACTTCCAAACCTTCATCGACATCACCTTTGACGTTGACAAGCAGCCCGTTTTTGAGAACTACGAAATTCTGCAAATCCCTTAGGTTAGAGCTAATTCAATTCAATAGCTTTACAATTTTTATTGAATAGAGCTCTATAATTGAATTTAGAGCTGAATTGAATAGAGCTAAAATGTTCATGGGATGGTGAAGACGATCGAGCAAAAACGTTGTACATACTATTGATGGAATTAGCATCTTCAGTGCTACCACTGGTTGTCAAGAACAAAGAGCGGCAAGATCAAGATGATGAGAGAATAACTTATCTACTCAAGAGCAGATAACGTATCTCTAACAGTGTAGCCATGAACTCAGAGAAGATAACTCATCTACTTTTGATGTGTGCTCAACACATAGAGAAGTTGTCACTTAGCAATCACGACCCCTGATGTAGCGGTTCATGATCACGACCCCGGATGTAGCCGTTCATGATCACGACCCCTGATGTAGCCGGCCGTGATCACCAGTCCTGATGTGACCGTTCGTTATCACGACCCCTGATGTAGCGGTTCGTTATCACCGTACTACAAAAACTAACCTGCTCTACTGTTCAAGCTTCTCTGAACTGCCACACTAAGGTCCATCTAAGCTGGCCGTCTCTGACAGTACGTCTGCACAGGACTATTATCTTCGTAAGTAGAACAAGCACAAGTCCTAGAGGGGAAAAGTGCATGAGCATCATTCGAAAAACTGAACGAACCGAATAAAGAACAATCGTCCTCGATTTTACTCGCTTATTCTAAGATTTCGAATACGACAATAATCCTACTGCCAGCAGCCATAACAAAAGAGGGCACGAAGTAATCCCACATTTCTGCTGCCATGGTGAAAGGACCGTGGTTCCGTTTCTTAGAGTGACTCACTACTAGTACCATCACTCAGATGAAAAACAAATAAAAATATTTACATGACTCTTGGAAACCGTAGAAGAGGAGAAACCAAGAACCGTACAAGCCGTCAAGTGGAGACTAATTAGTAAACCTGAAGAAAGTCGTGCAAGAAGTAGCGGAAGTACAACATGCATGCACCACCACAAGAGAATGCCATGCTTGTGTCCCCGTTGCAGTTCCTAGAAGATGACTATAACACGAGAGACGATATTCCGCTACCACTTCTACGCAACATTATATGCAAAAGATTAAAGAGTGACAGTGATCTTCATCTTCTTAGCATGGAAATGCATCAGATGGAAGAACCACAACAACAAGATTTACTAGCCGTGCGGTTGTCTTACAGTTATTTTAGATCTTTATGTTTGTTACAAAGAGTTCTTGTTCAAGAACAATAAGACTACTCTCGTCTCTTCTTATGTTAAAAAAGACCTATGTAGACATAGGACGGAGAATTCAGTTTATTCTTAAAGCTTTCACAGTGGGACGTGGAGGGGTTTTGCGGTGCGGCTCCAGTCGATGGTCCTGCTGCACGAAAATGAACAATGACAATCATCGACTAGTGAATTCAATCATTTAGTTACTAGAATACACTCATAGACTAGAGTACAATCATAGACTAGAATTCAATTATTCCGTCACGGGAAGACGGCACCCAAGTCCGTACTGTTAAATTCTTATTCGGAGAAAGAGGTCCGTACTAGAAGTGACCCGAATGGAGTAGCTGCATAATGGTTAGGTTAGGTTAAGGATCCTTGACAACGAGCCCCACCGGCACCTGCTCGTCGTGAGCAGATAAAGAAGTTTGTGGTTGATATCTTTGGTCTGTGGAAGGA